AGAGCGACCCAACCAGACCGGGCCGCAGTTGAAGGTTTGGCTGGCAGAAGGGGTTGAGGGTGGGGGTGGGGGACTTCACTGAACAAAAATTGAGGTACGCCCTGTTTAAGAAATAAGGGGGAAAAATGAGAAAAATTCAGGAAAAATCAGAAGAAAAAAAAACAGAAGAAAATCAGAAGAAAATCAGAAAATTAAAGGGAAAATCAATCAGGAGATAGTACGAAAAGTGGGTGTATGCTTGAATTTATAGTGAAGTACCCCTCGAAGGAGGCCGGGGTGGGGGTGGGGGGGAATGCACAGTAGGTTGCCTAAATGCACATACAGGGATCTTGATACAAATTCTTTATCCCTTACACATCTCACTTTAGAGACGGAATAATTAGAGCCCCCCCCCCCTATCTCTCAAGTTCAAGGAGCAAACTACCGGTTGCCTACCTACTAGGCGGACCCTCATTCGGTATAGTTTTGTAGGACCCTCATTCGGTATAGTTTTGTTCTATATTTTTTATGTCTTCTGTAAAGTTAATGCACTTCGCTCAGCTACCCCGTGCACAATGTTAACGCACGGGGCCCTACGTTATTCTAGGGAATTTTTTGCTGTTGTCTGTTAATTTTCTTTGTATGTTTTTTTTCTTTTCTATTGCAGAGTCATGTGCGAGAGTCCGCACTACTCTATGCAGAGCGCGGTGTCCCATCCCCGGGGCGGTCCCACTCGGTTCCGCTCGGTCGCGCTCAGACAGTGGATGGTATCGCTTCGGCCTGACCCCGGCACAGTGGCCGCGCGCAGAGGGCGATGGGGAAGGAATTGATTTCCCTGTCGAGAGCGTCGCGGCCGCCGTCGGCTGTGAAGGTGTTTAGGCAGTCACCACCTTAAGGGCTTCCGGCCCGTCGGGGCGTCTCGCCTGGACCAGCCTCGTGACGGCCACGGTCACGGCCAGGGCCGGGCCGACCTCCCGCGGTGGCGCTGCACCTGTACATAGTCTAGCGACTCACCGACCAGGCCCAGGTCTATGATGGGGATCTCCGCCCGAGATAGCAGGGTGTCCATGGCTCCTGAAACACGCAGAGATGCAAATGTTAGCTCGGCGGGCGAGTCGCTCATTCTGCTTCGCCGAGATAAGCGGTCGGTCGGGCGGGCCCGTTATTAAACGGAACGCTGTGCAACATGTCGCACGACGCGCAAGAGCGTGACGCCGCCGCCGCGGCAGCCGCGCACGGCACGGCACTCGAGATCAGTTCTTTCTATTATCTAGCGTAAGTGCGCAGGGCTGTACCGGCGGTGGCGAGGCGGGGTGGGGTGGTATCAACGAGACGATGGAGCGACGACGACGACGGGGCTGGCTTGCACGCGCCGCGCGCGCCGCTGCGCATCTGAAATCATTTATCGTCAATAAAGGCATGGCGGTTCTCCAATCCGTCCGCCCATAGTTTGTCTCATTAAGGCGCCCCGCCCCGCCCCGTCCCGCCTGGCCCCGCCTCGCCCCGCCTGGGACTTTCAGCCTTGACGCGGCCCCGCACATTTGTGACCGCGCCGCTACATAATACCAAAGACCAGCAAACGCAAAAAACACTAGGAAGTGAACAGAACTGTACGCAAATGCAATGGCATTTCGGAAATTCGGAACAGAGTATTAATGTACTGATAGAGTCGGGCTGCGATGAATGAACAGCTCACGATAGCGCGGGTGACATGACATGCCGTGGGCGCGTGGCCGCGCGTCCAAGTGTAACACAGCTGTTACACAGGTGCGCCAAGTAGTGATGTCAGCGTAGCCAAGTGGAGAAAATGACGCAGGTGGGGGTCCTTCCCTTCCCGTTCCAATAATCACGAGTGACGCGTTACCCCGCCGCAGGAGGAGCAGGAAAAGGCGGGGCGATCAGGAAAAGCACGGATGACGGTATCAAAAAGAGGCCCGCCGACTCGACCCTGGCGTTTGTCCTTGATTGTATCGGAGGTGAGCACGACGGAGACGGGGTGAAACCAGGCGCAGATTAAGGTCCGGCTGACCGGGGGGGGGGGGTGCACTGTCGGTTGCCTACATGCAGGGGTTTTATGGCGCATATTGCCTACATATCAGGCGGCTCTCTAGAGACGACAGGGGGTGCGATCGCCCCCCCTTTAATTCGCGCCTGGTTGAACTATCCCAAGGCCTGCACTCCCCCCCCCCCTTTTCCCTTGGACGCACGCACGACAGTTGGCAGCCCTTGATTAGACACGACGCGAAGGGGCCCAAGGCCTCCGCCGCGGCCTCCGCCACGTGACGTCACAAGGGCGAATGCGATGCAGTGTCACGCCGCCGCCACCGCTCCATGCCACCACCACCGAGCCGCGTTAGGCAACGCATCGTATTTCACAGCTGCAAAATGGCAATCAAAGCATGACAGCCGGCTGCAGTCGTAAGGGCGTCGTCGTGGGCGCGCGGGGGGCGGGGTGAGGCGGGGCAGGGCGTGGCGGGCGGCGCTGGAGGCGGCGGGTCCGGCGCACCTAGCGGTCACAGCAGCGGCGCGCCCACGGGACAGCGTGTCCTGTGTCCTGTCGTCCTGTCGCCCATTCATTGCCTCTGCCGTGCACCGTGCCGGTCACGCCCTTCCCTCCCGCGCCCTACCTGGCTGTGAGGTGGCATTGCGCTCTGAGTCATCCATGCCACGCTGTATGCAGCCCACGCCATGCCGTGACGATAGTCACCGATTCAAGATTATTTGTTTTCAAATAATGAAACGTCCGAGTCGGAGGGTTATCGCATCTGGCTTGAAAATGAGGACGCCAGAGTGCAGCGCTAACGCTTGGTGGGCGAGAATTTGGCAAAATGACGATTTGGCAAAGTCGGGTCAGCGAAGCACTCTTATGATTATTTCTGCCATTGGTGTTGTTGCATCATATAATGAGACCGGCCCTACGCCACCCAGCAGGCCGTGTGTGGGCGAGACCTGCCCTTGCCCCTTGCGGCCTCCAGAGCGGGTACCGGCGCAGAGACCTACCCCCCGTTTGTTTCGCCTGTTGGCGCATCAGGCGGGCGGAGAGCTGAGCTGGGACCGGGACCAGGACCACGACTCCGAGGCCCAGACACACTGCCCCCATTGTCCCGATGCGGGGCGGAGCAGCTGAGCTAGCGCAGCAGCTAGCGCCAGCCAGGAGGCCAGCTGCGGACGCTTGCCTACACGCCCGCCCTGCAGGAACAGAGCCCCACCCAGCCAACTGTCCCTGCTGGTCCCGGTGCAATCATCGCCCTGCGACACACTCGAGTCCACCGGCGGCCGCCCATCCCATCTGCCGCTACGCTCCGCCCCGCCGGCTGACGTGATGTGCGCGACCTTGACTTTGGCATGTGATACGGCGCCAATTAATGAGATTGGTTCGTCTGCGAGGAGCCCAGTCCAGAGATTTGGGCGGACTGCGGACTGATCGGCGGCACAGGGCGGGCGACGCGTGGGAGACGGTAGTAGGAGACGACGGGCAGTCCACCGAGACAGAGAGAGAGAGAGAAGGAGGGACGCGCCGCACTTAAGCCACTTAAGAAACTCTCTCTGTCTGTCTCTGTCTCTCCTTCTCTCGCCGTCCCAACTCCTCGTCTCGACAGTTTTTATGTCGGCCCCTCCGCAATGCCTGACCTCCGTCAACTGTAAAAGGTGCGAAGGTGCGTCGGATAGCGGGTGGCCGGGTCGCAGCGGGCTGCCTCGGCCGGGTAGGCAGGCAGAGGGTTCACAACCGCACTGCCTTTTTTTGGAGTGGTATACTTTTTTATTATCGTCTGAAGTCTTCTCAGACAGAGACAGAGTAGTTGGGACAGACGAGATGGGTATGGGTATCCGCCTTCGGTCAGGCCGGTCTTGCTTCCCTCGCATCCCCAGTAAAGCGTGTCCTTGATTTTTGTACATTTTATGTGGATTTTATCACACACCTGCAAACGCAGGACTGTTTACCTGCAAAGTGCTTTCGGACACAAACATCTAGTGTGGTAAAATGAGCACTTTTTTTTGGCTTTAGGTGTACGATCTCACTCCCCACTCCCCCTGCCCTCCCCGCGCCCCACCCCATCGCTTGGTTCGCCTCCAAATCGCCCTGCTCCGCTGCCCCCGCTCGCAGGCAACGCCAGGCCACGGCTGCCCTGACCGCGTGCCCGATGAGCTTGGCGCAGTCGTGTCTTCTGAATGTCGCCGCCACCATCGCCATCATGCACTAACCCTGCCCGCCGCAGCGCTGCGCAGCGCCCTCTGGCCTCGCCAGCCAGCTTCAGGGACATTGGGGATGAAAAATTCATGGCCCCTTCGACGACGACGCTCGCCTCACCGCTCTGAGGCACGGGACGGGACCGCGGATGGAGTAGTGAGAGCGAGAAAGACGGGAGACGATCGGGTTAGGCTCTGACCGGCTAGACAGAGAGCGAAAGCGAGAGAGAGAGAGAGGGAGGGAGGGAGAGATAGCGACCAGGAATACTGAGTTGATGAAGCACTGCGAGAGAGAGAGAGAGAGAGGGGGGGGGGCGAGTAAGGTTGGCCAACGACCATACGGACCTAGTTGAGCTTCCAGACCGGCTCCGCGGTCGGCGCGCTCGCCTGCTTTTGCGCTCCAAACGGCGCTGGCCACCCCTTCCTGTGTAGCCTGAAATAGAGAGAGTAGTGTAGGGATGGGGAGTGTCGACCAGACGAGAGGTTGGTACCCGCTGGTGCCCGGCGGTAGGTACATGGTGCCCCCCGGGGCGCGGCCGTGCCACCTTGGGGGCTGCCCGGGGCGAGCCGAGGCGAGAGGAGCGCCAAGTCCTGCCGAAATAGAGGACTCGACGACTTTTATTTTAATTCTCTCAAGCGCGCGCAGCGCTCCTCCTCTCCTCTTTCTCCGTCTCTCCTCTTCTTCTTTTCTATTTTAAAAATACGCCGCCCAGATACCACCATTCACGGCCCGCAGCGCGGAGATTGAACGCGTGGCGTGGCGTGGCGGCGTCGTCCACGGCCGCTCAGAATGCATCAGGTATGCATGCCAACATTGTAGGGGTGGCGGCCTGCCAGGGGAGGGGAGGGGGGGGCGGGGCGGGGCTGAGGACGGAGGGAGGGGCGCCCTCAGCGCCAGGGAGGCGCCTCCTGTCTCTGTCGCACCCCTCACGCACCTCACGCCGACGGAGGGGCGCCCAGAGCGAGCGACAGGGAGGCGTCTCCTGTCTCTGTCGGACCCCTCACGCACCTCACGCTGCCACCTTCTGCTGCGGCCGCGTCGGGTCGACCGTCTCTGTCGCACCACGCCGGCGCCAATACTCGAAGATAAAGACGGAAAATTGGCCGCTCTATTCGAGTCGCGGTCGCCATCAGCCCCCCCCCCCCCATCCTTTCTCCAAACCCCCTGACCTCACACCCCCTTTCCCCTCACGTTTCACCTTTGCATTGTAGTGTGGCGGAGTGGGGCTGCGTTGCCACGCTCACGCACGGGTGCCGCCGCCCGAGCGGACAACGCACGCGGCTCCACACCTGGGCTAGCCCCCGGCGCGGTAGGCAACACCCGAGCAAGCGCGCACAGCTGCACCGCGGGCCTGCCTACCTACAAGGCGCTCCGGCCACGAAAACTAGTCCAGCTCCCTTATATTCCCCAAGTTCCGCGATCAATTTCGCGTCGGGGCTTCATTGACTCTCAATGGCGCCACTTGCGGAGCGTGGGAAAGCCGCCGTCACGCAGCGGTTGCGCGCGCGCTCTGTCGCTTTGTCTCACCCTTGTTCTCTCTCTCTCTCTTGCTCTCACACAACGCAAGCGCACTCACATTCGAACGTCTCACAATCCCTGGCCGACATGTGTAGGTGTCCACTTGTATATTTTTATTATTATTTTTTCAGCCAGATACCCCTGGCTCGGGATTAGAGGAAGGATTTGAAGAGGCGGAACTACTGTCTGATTTTTTATTTCTCGTTGGCCCTCCCGAAGAGTATTTCGGCATCGTGCCGGGATCGCCGCCAACCTTCTTGAGGATCATGGAAAGCTTGCAGTGTCGTCAATTTATTTTAAAATACCAAGACGTAGTCAGTGCGACGGCAGAAATGTGTTTGCGCGCGTTACATCCGGCTCTTTGAACAGTTTGAATGGAGGCGACACGATGTCAAGTCGAGGCGACCACGTGGTACCGGCATGGCGCGTGCCCGCGGCGCCGGGTGGCGGGGCGTGGCGGGACCTAGCCGAACTCCTGACCGGCGGCGAAATCTTAAAACCAGGCTCATAGGTAAACCCTGGTGTGCATCCTCGTTACCTTCCTGGAGAAATAGTTTTTCATAGCCATCTCCATCAGGCTTCGCAGGGGTGACGTCTAGGGGCACATGCGAGCATAAAACTAACTCACCCTCGGCTAGTGTGGTAGTCGTCCGAAGCGAAAAAAATCCAGTACCGCGGCGTTCCGAGTCCAGACCCGCGTCGTCTCTGTCGCTTTCACTCGCTCTCTCACTCACTCGTACGCCCGCACGCCCCTCACGCCAGCACGCACGCACGCACGATCGCTCACGCTCGTCAGAGAAACACTATTTCTGTTCCAAACATGGCACTCTGCTCTGTGAGGGTGTGGGCGGTCCAATCACTCATGTGTCCTGCGCCGCGCTCTCCGGGGATCAAAGGGGAAGACTCGCGACACTGCTCTCGTGAACCGCACGACCGCGAGCCGTACCGGTGTGGCACTGCTGAGGCGACGCTGCCTGCCTGCCGACCGCCTGCGCCCCGCTCTGAGCCTGGACTGGACTGACTGCGCGCGGCGCGGAGCAGCTCGGCGGGCCGGCCGGGCTGGGCAGGGGACCCCGCGCGGCGCGTCGAGTGGGGCCGCGGCGGTGGGGCGGGGTAGGGGGCTGCTGGGGCTGGTTGGTGCCGGCTCTCTTGGCGGCCGGGGCGGGGCCGGGGCCGGCCGGGGCCGAGCTGCGCGCGGCGTGGCTGGGCTCCAAGTAGTGCTGCACGCCAACTTGAAGCAGGTTTTGGTGCTGGCTGTACTCGACCTACGTTGCACCTCCTTGTAAAACCTACAAGTCATTACTCTTAGTAGGGGGTGGGGTGAGGGCAGCGGAGTGGGGGTGTGTAGTGTACGAGTGCATCCGACGGTCAGGTCTCTGGGTACAATCCGAGGTACAATCCCCGTTGGGACGCGCGCACCGCCGCCTTGACACATGAATGTACGGCATTCGACGGGAAGGACATGCATAGGTGCAGTACGAAACGCAACTTGGCCCGGTTATAAATAAAGTATCCCGACTCGAAGGGGATCAATGCTTCGAAATAATTTCGTTAACGCCAAACAAATGTAAGAGGATACAAAAATGTGGGTTTGCTTCAACTTACTCCAATAGCGTTGTTCGGGTAAAGTTGAACTATTGATTTTCACCATATTAGGTCTTATAACGTTCATGATAGTGACTGACTGCACCGTGGCGCCAAGAAGACGTGCAACGAACGCAATCCTCACTTTTTCGAAAAAGTTAGAAATGGTTCATTCATTTGAACTTTCTGGTGTGACTGTACCTTTTGATCCAATTTTATGTAAATATGGTTTATTGCGACTGAGTGGTTTTGCAGCCTAAACGGCATTTATTGCAAATAATGCCTTGGGGCTTAAGGGGTCTGTCTAGGGTCTTAACCGTAAAAGCAATCAATGGAGTTATTTGCCAAAATTGAGACAGTGGCACGAAACTTGGGAATTACAATGTAGCGGGCGGATCGGTTGAGAGAAGTGTGAAAGGTGTGTCCTGCCTTGTGCGTATGCAACCCAATGTACACGTCCCCTGTGTGGGGCTGGATGGGTGGCCTATGTGTTGGGCGCCACAGTGATTCAAACGCATGGGGCCACCGGAGAGAGCGGTGGGTTTGTCGGGAAGAATGCTGGGTCATTATCTCACCCCTTTCTCTAGCAAATCAAATGATTTAATTGGATTACGAATCTGCAGAAGCTTACTCGCGAAGCCAAGTGACACAAGTGACGGGTAGAGCGGTAGAGTGGCTGCCCGTTGCCCGTCCGCCGACAGTCAGAGCCCTCTACCGATAGCACTTCAAAGCCAGCGTACCTCCGGCGAGGAGTATCTGCAGCTCAACGGAGACTGAGGGCGCGGGCATCTCTGTCACTCACTAGTGAGAACTTGTGCGTCGTGTATCATATCACTTGCTTGGGTTGGTTGAGAGAACACGGCGTGGTCGCTGCTCACAATCATTTATTGTCTACCACCATCTTCACTCTTTCATTTATCAACATACCCGAAGACCAGATTTAGGCGTCGAGTACCTCGACGTCTCCCTGGTTGACGGGCTCTCCTGCAGGGGTGGGGTTGGTGCCGGGGGCGGGGCGGCGGGCGGGGACGGATCCTTGCTGGGGTGCCACGGCCACGGGGGCAGTCACGGGGGCGGGGCCCACCACGAAGTAAGTGACTTGGGGCACGCCGTTGTAGTTCCTGGAGAAGTACTGCGAGCTGGAAGACACTGCCTCAGGGGCGACGGCGAACACGGCGGCAGCGGGGGCTGGGGCTGGGGCAGCAGGAGCGGGCTGTGGTGCGACGGCGTACACTCTGGAAGCGGGGTTCACCTCGACGTAGCGAGCGGTAGGGGCGACTGGGGCGGCAGAGGCGGCGGGGGCGGCGAAGACCAGGTTGGAGTTGGGGGAGTAGTACCTGACGGGGGTTGGCTCAGGCTCGGCGACGACAAAACGGGCTGGTGTGGCCGGTGCGCTCGTCACCACGTACCTAGCGGGGGCGGCGGGAGCAGCGGGGGCGGCGGGGGCGGCAACCAGAGGGGCGGCGAATGGGTAGGCCTGCTGCTGCTCTAGCGCCAGGGTGCTGATGCCGTTGTAGTTCCTGACGATGTACTGCTGGGTGGCGGGGTAGGCCGGGGCGTTGAGGGCCAGCAGGGCGGCGGCGGGGGCGGGGACAGCGGGGGCGGCGCGCTGCGAGCCCACCACCAGGGGGGCGGCTAAGTACGCCAGGGTGGGCGATGAGGGGGCGCCGACAGCATAGCGGCGCACGGGGGCCTCGGGCTCGGCCAGGACCGCGGCCACGGACAGGAGAACCTGCGGACAGCGAAGAGTGAGCAGCAGGACGACACGTCAGTGACGCTTCGGTGGCAGCACATTAGAAACCGGGGGATGACTCACCAGGCTGAGGATCATCATGATTTTGCTGGGAATGGGAGAGGATGCTCGGGATGTCTGTGAGCTTCGGTTGCTGGAGTCGAAGTGACGAAATCCATCTGCAGCTCACAATATATACTCAGCCCCCGGGCATGTTCTGCTTGTCCCCGCAGCCCTCCCCCTGCCTCCCCGTCCCCCACCGCGGGCCGGGCTCGTGTGGACCCCAGGGACCTCTTGACATGGAGGTGCACGTAGAGCCTGACCTCCGTCGCCTGCCAGGGAGGAGCCCGGGTCCGCCACTCCGCCGCGGCACGAGCAGGGGATGCGGGGGTAAGGGGGGCACGGGCATCTCGCAGCCAGAGCCCTTGCCCGGAGTCCGGTGTGACTCACCCCACCCTGCGAAGGGGTGCGATTCAGTTGCAGCACCGGGGTCAACGCTCGGGCTGGTCACTGTCGAGCAGGTTTTCAGCTAACGGGGCACGCCGAGGTATTGAGTTTTACCTCAATCTCGACTTGCACAATCGAATTGTGTGCCCTTTCAAATTCCAGCCTCGCCCTTCGTGACGCTGCGATAGTTTGGAGAGAAGAGGAACCGCGTGCTTCTGCTCTGGCAAGAGGAGGGGGGGAGGGGGAGGGTGTGCACTGCATGGCTACGGTCTGGGGCGTCCGGAGTCTACTTGCAGCAAGTGAGCCGGGCACTATTGTTCCTTCCATTTCCCTCTATCCCTCTATCCATCCATCTTCACACTTACCTGGACATCATGAAGAGGATTTTTTCATATGCAAGGGAAGAGACAAACTGTCTGATTTCTTGGATCAAGTACATTTTTGTACTAAAAGTGACACAAGATTATCATTTTTCCTAGTAACGAGACAAATATTTCTGTATAGGAAGACAATTTTCTCAATCGAAAGATAATAACGTGTTGCGTCAAGAGTCAAAATGTATTTGAACTAAGAAAACATATTTTTCTGGGTGAAACAATTTCTCTACAGTACACAAGCCTTCCAGGTTTCTATGTCGCTGTTTACAGATTTGACATTGCTTGGTCTAAGATTGGGCATGAAGGGGGGGGGGGGTCGATTTAAGCCCCCTTTGTCGGACTATTGACGTTGCCTCTGAAACATTTAGACCGGATTTATAAAAATGGTTTGAACAGAAAAATGTTAGTTTTTGCGCGATCTTGGTAGAACGATCGCTATCTGCAGATAGCAGCATGTCACTGCTCCGGGCAATACGTTATGCCACTGTATGAGGAGGGCGGGGCGAGGAGGGGCGAGGAGGGGCGTGGCGGGGCAGCCACCAGTTGTGTTATTGTCTCAGTGCCAGGACCCATTGACCTCCATCGGCGTCGCGCGCGTCGCATGTGAAGAGCTTTGGGACGTCGTCGGCGACCTCTGGCGGCCGCCGGGAGACTCTCGGCAGTCACGTGACCGTGCCCTACACGGCGCCCGAGACCTTCCCTCCAAAAAAGTGGGAGATTGGCATGTAAAAGACGTGAGTACTGCGAGTACAAACAATCACCGAAACAATCCCCACATCTCTACGTGATGTTGTCGAGGCTTCCAGGCCTTGCCTGCATTGCGCGTGTCTTGTAGTTCTTTAGATAGAACGAACGCGCCCATTTGGCGGGCATATCCATGTGCTGACCAGCCTCGTGCATAGGTGACACTTTACTTTGTAAGAGGCGGGGAGCAGATGAGCCTGGGGTGCCCCCTCCCGCTCCCCAAACACCGGCACAGGCCACCCCCGCCTCGAGCCCCGGCTCGCGCAACGGCCTCATGTCCACACCAAAAGCCCCTCGGGGGCTCGTATAAAAGGCTGGCCAGTGGTCGACCAAGGCATCAGTCCTCCAGGAGCCATCCTCAGCACCTCAGTAGCCCCACAGCCCAGCCCAGCCCAACCCCACCGCCAACATGTGCAAGCTCGCCGTCGTCCTCGCCGCTGCCCTGTGCGTCGTCAGCGCCGCCCCCGCCCCCAAGCCGGGCCTGCTGGCCGCGGCGCCCCTGGCGTACAGCGTGCACCCGGCGCCCCTCGTGGCCGCCCCCGTGGCCGCCCCGCTGGCCGTGGCCCCCGCCGTCGCCACCGCCTACTCCTCCCAGGTGGTCGCCCGCAACTACAACACGCTAGCCGCGCCCCTGATCGCCGCCCCCGCCGTGGCCCCCGTGGCGGCCTACTCCGCCTACCCCGCCGCCTACTCCGCCTACCCCGCCGCCTACTCTGCGGCCTACCCCTACATCTTCTAAACTGAACGGGTTGCATCTCGTTCTTAACATTTGCTAGTTGGAAGTCTCTAATAAACTGACTGAGATGAAATGAAACGCATGTCTTTACTCAAACGAAACCATACACAAGCCGCCCCGTAATTGGTTCGCCAGCAGTACAACTACAATCGCATGAACATTCTTAAAAGGCAAATTAAAATTCAATCTCAATTTCTTACATGAATATTTGTACCATTTATCCCAAAATATGCAAAACGCGTGATTGCAACGACATTTCACCTGTTTTGTAAATAAAACCAGTGTGATAAGGCTACGACATCCAAGAAAATAACTAATTAATATTGCGTATTCGTATTATAATTTTGTAGAAATTTTAATATTTTTATAATGCTTGATTTTGGAGTAGCGGACCTGAAAAACGCTGGCGCCAACTCATGATTATTATTTAAAGGTGATATACATTGGGTGACCAAAGTTTACTAACCGCTCGTTCAGAAATTACGTCCGTTTTTCGCAGATTCATTCGACAAAGTTGGCAAATCACGGGACCTCAGCGCCTGCGAAACTCAGGGTAGGCCACCCCGCGGTACACACACGCACTGTAAGCCAGATATTGCCTACCTATCAGGCGCTCTATGAGCTTGCAGAAGGCTAAACTTGGCAGTTTCGTAACGACGAAGAACGGACGTACTTTCTGAATGATCCCTTTCGTGTAGATACCGGGAGCGAGTGGAAGGGGGCAGTGGATGACAATTCACCCCTTGCCCCTTTCCGCAGATAAAAGTGTTGCGAAGAGCAGGATAGTATACAAATTATACCGTACAGAATATGTGGTATATTTCCGAAAAATAGGGTTAATTACGCTTTCTCCAGGAGTTACGAACCGTTCAAAGCATCATGACGGTTGTAGGCAAACCACTTGCAAGTGCCAACCAAATGTAATGGGCTTTGAGCTTCCTCAAGACCATGGCGAAGTCCCAATGAGGCCCTTGAGTCTTGACTAATCGCAGACTCTTGCGTATTTCCGTCGGGCATTTCCGCGCTTGCACTAAAAACACCCAATTACACAGGGTGTCCTATCGCCCCCGATCTTTAAAAGAAGTTATACTCTTCTGCATGCAGACCTTATGGCCACGGAGCGAGAAGACAACCCGCCCACACACGTGTATGCGGTTCAAAATATATCTAAAACAGCAAAGCACGGGCCTCAATGACACCCTGCACATTGGTTTGGTTCGACATTTTCGGAGACAGGAAGAAATAGACGGGAAATTTGTATTGTTTGTGTAACAAAATCTTTAATATCGCAGCGACGCAGTGGTTTACGCTTGCATTGTACATCTTCAGCGCTACTTCAACGTTTACTCTAGGACTTAGTCACTTCTTCGTTTCCGCCCCGCCGTTACATAAATAGCTTAAAACTAATTAAACATGATAACAATTTCTCAAATAACTGTACAATCATATCAGTTCTATTTAAAGCTCCGGCCGTCATAGCGCCAAGTTGCCCGCTGTCGCCCTGGTGATACCGTTGACTGCAGGCAGGAACTGCCTATAATAGTGGCCGTCGTGGAGAGCGCTGAAGCTGGCGGACGTCGGGGTGGGAGCGGGTGCGGCCACCGGGACGGGCGGGGTGGGCGTCGGCTGCAGGGGCACCCTTGCGGGCGTGCCGAAGCCGAAGTCGAAGTCATCTGGGGACAGTGCGGGGCCCGGGCCGAACGCCCCGTTCGGTAATGCGCCCGGAAAGAGTGTGGGCGCGGGCAGCAGGTAGTTGGGCGTGATGCCATGGCCGAAAAGATTGGGGTTGAAGTGCAACGGTGGCAGCGGCGTCGGGCCGACCGGCGGGAGCGGCAAGGGGTTCTTGAACGTGGGGGTCACCCCGGTCGGGAAGGGCAGCGGCAGCGGCCCCAGGCCCCTGCCCGGCAGCGGTAGGAAGCCGGACGTGTGCAGCAGCCCCGGCGCGAAGGGCAGCGCCTCGGGCGGGAAGTTGTAGTTGAAGTTGGGCGCGAAGCCGAAGGGCAGCGGCAGCAGCGGGGCCGGGGGCGCCGCCGGGGACTTGACGACGGCGGGCACCAGGGGAGGCGGCGGCGGCGGCAGCACCGGAGGTGGTAGAGGGGGAGGGGGTGCGACGGGCCCGAGCGGCGCCTGGTGCAGGACGGGGTGGTGCACGGTGGGGTGGTGGAGCACGGGGTGGTGCAGCGGCGGCGGGTGCAGCGAGGGCGGCGGGGCGTGCAGCACGGGGTGGTGCAGCGGCAGGGGCTGCCCCTGCGTGAGCAGCAGCGCGCGGTGCAGCACGGGCGGCGGGAAGGCGGCCAGCCAGCGGAACACGTTGATCTGCGTGGAGTAGGGCGGCACGGCGGGCGGGGCGTGCCTGATGACCGTCAGGGGCCCCGCGGGGCCGTGGTGGTGCGGCACGAAGCCCGCGCCCGCCGGGCCGGCCAGAAGCAGCGCGCTCACCAGCCCGCTCACCAGCACCGGCACCTGCAACCGGGACCAACAACAAGTTCAGCAGTGTCCGAGACAGTGTCAGAGGGAGCGCGTGGCGGCCAGGGCGCCGCCAAGCGCGTGCAGCGCCCACGCATCTAGCATGGCGATGAGCCCGACTGTCGCAACGGTCCGAGTGGTCACTTGGTATGCTGCCACTGCGATAGCCAAACACTTTCTCAAGCGACCCGAGGGGTGGGGAGGGGGGTGGGGGCGTCGCGCTATTCGCTTCATGAGCTGTCAAGTGGCTGGAAAAAGACATCACAGCGGGGCCGAAAAACGAAGGTGGGAGGGCGGGGGGAGGGTAGACCACCAGCGAAGGGGTATTCAATGCAAAAAGCGCAGCGACTCTGTGCATTTTTGTTTATGGCACGAATCAGTTAAGTCAACCAGTTATACTGTACCGCAAGTGATAGCTTTTCATATTTCTGCGTGAAATAAGTCTCACTCTAAAGTAGTATTGTTAAACATATTGTAAAAAAGAGAACGAGGAGTTGGGGCACTTTTCCATCCGGTAGAGACAATCTTGAGGACTGTCTAAAATATAACTTGAAATTTAGAGAATGCAACGAATCTAGATGCCTTTCTCCCAGGCACTTCAACCGGTCGTATCATCGGTGGTTGAACTCATTACTCTCCAGGACGAGCACTTCGCGCCGGCTGATGCACGAACTGGAATCGTTCCAAAACGACAGAGCCGATTTGCGTTGAATCACTCGCGTAAATCCGTGATGGCGGGCATGGCGGAGGTTGCCGTAGAGGAGCTCGTCGCTGCGTCGCGCTGCGGTCGATGGTGGTCACTCACCGCGAGCCCGGGGCTGCCACGGGGACTGCAGGGACCCGGCATCGCACTACACTAAATCGCACGGGAAGCCTTGGCGGTGCGACACCTCAATGACAAGTGAGCCAAGATGGCGTCCGCTTTTCGTTTTATACTCGCCCTCTCGCCGCCCTGCGCGCCCCTTCCGCGTCCGGCGGCGGGGGCGTGGCCTGTCGGGGCTTGGCGGGGCTCGGCGGGGCTTGGTGGGTCCGGGGCGTGGTGGGTCCGGGGCGGGCTAACTTCATCAGTGAAACTATGTGCGTGCCCTGCGCCACCTGCGCCCGCCCTGCGCCGGCCCCACATCCTGCGGACCTGCCAAAAGAAAGCGCGAGTGCAGAGGTTGTGCAAGCGCGGTCATCACATCACGCGCCGCGCGTCCAACGTGACGCCTCGTCCATGATTGAGTCCATCATCGCCACCTAGAGCGCGTCGCGTGCCTAACGCCTTACGCGGCCGCACCGGCCGAGCGCCGGCAGCCCGGGCAGACGGCTCGTGCGGCACGATCAGAAGGGACGGAGGGCGGACAGCAGCGCCGGTCCACGGTCCAGCGTCCCCAGCATCCAGCGTCAGTGTGAAGGAAGGTGGAGAACCGGGGGTTCAGTGGACCTTCACCAGGGTGCGTGCGTACTTACGCCAGGGTTCGGCGTTAGCTAGCGTGGTGATTGTGTTCCGGGCTGAACGCAGCAGCTTGGCGTAACTCCTGGCAGTCGCGGGGACGCGGACACAGGCTGGCCGTACCGGATGATGGCACCCGGCGACGCAGGGGGTGAGGGCGAGGGGGCGCAGTAGCGTTCAGTGCATTGGGTAATATTGGGAGGGTGGGGTGAGGTGCGGTAGGGCCGTCGCAAGTCCGCAGAACTGCGTGTGTCGCGAGGTACACATCTTTTTCGGCGGGGGAGGGGGCGAGGGGGCGAGGGGGCGAGGGTGGTGGTCAGAGTCCTGTGCGTGGGAGGAGGTGTCGTCGGCAGGGTGGGCGCCCAGCACTATAAGAGCCCCGGGGCGAGGCTGACGAGTCGTCACTCACACCTCGACGAGCTTTGCGCAAACATCAGCAGCAAACAGCAAGATGAGCTTCTCCACAGTGGTGAGTACGAGAAGTGGTCATTTCTTTGAAACAAAGGGATCTGTTAGGAGGGGCGCACCCGCACAACACGCTCACGCACCTCTTGCTCTTTGCCCTGGCAGGTTCTGGTCTTGGCCGCCCTCGCCGGCGTCGGCATGGCGGGGATCGTCTCTCCTCTGGCCGCCCCTCTCGCCGCCGTGCCCTACGCCACCTCCTACGCCGGCCACACCGTCACCCACGCCGTCGCATCCCCAGTGGCCGCCCCGATCCCGGTAGCCGCTCCGTTGGCCAGGGTGGTGGCCGGCCCCCTTCCCGCCCCTCTGGCCGGGCCATTCGCCGCCCCCCTGGCTGCACCGTTCGCTGCTCCCTACGCCGCCCCCTACGCCTCCTACGCCGCCCCCCTAGCAGCGCCCTTTGCCGCCCCCTACGCCGCCGCCCCCCTGGCCGCCCCCTACTCACCGTTCCCTCTCCCAGCCGCTTACTCCGGCCTGCCTGCACCACTGTTCCTCAAGAAGTAGAAGATCTCATCACCGAAGAGCTGCATTCTTTCATCTCATAAAATAAACTAATATCACACATCATTGAGTTGCACTTCTGTTTTCGACCTTCATGGTTTGTCCCAATAGCGCTTACATCGATCGCATAAGGATCGTCCAGCGTCCAGAAAGAACGTCCGCTTATCTAAGATTCTTTCGGGAAATTACAGGAGCTTGGCGCCTGCGGAAATCAGGGTAGGCCACCCAGCGGTGCACGCGTGCACTTAAGGCAAGATGTTGCCTACCGATCGGGCGCTAGCACTAAGTGAGCTTCCATTGGCTGAACTGGGCAGTTTCGAGACGGAAAATGGCGAACGTACATTCTGGATACTCCGTAATCAGTTGTAACCACAGTAATATTTACTCTCCACCCCGTGGGCCTGGCTGGAGCCGGCGCGCGGCCCTCTGCGCTGCGACCGGCGCGGATACGGGCAGCCTTGAGATCCGCGCCGTGAGTCATTCGGCGACTAAGAGGATTCACTATGATTTGTGTACCGACCATTAATACCCGACACTCGGTCCAGCCCTGCCCGCATCGGCCCAGCCGGAGCGGCAGGCTGGGCGAACAACACCTGGAAAAATAAAAAGATTCCCAGTGCGAAGAGCACGAGCGGACGTTAGACGGAAACCTGACAGTTTTCTTTTGGAGATGGCCAATGTGTATTTAAGTGTGGACACTTCCCCTCCAAACACACACTGCTGGAAGTTCGCATTGCTGCCGATTGCGCGAGGCTTAGACTGTACTTGACAGCAACCATTCCCCAACCTCGCACCCGTAGTCCCCGCCGTGCTTGTGGCCAGACAGCGGCCAACGACTTTCTGATAGGAAAGATCACAGAACGGCCAACATCACTACACAAACGTCCTCGCACCTTGCGCGCCGGGCCCCCCCTGATGAAGTACCGCCGAGCCATCCCGGCGATCTCTCATTCCTCTCTCTCTCTCTCTCTCTCTCTCTCTCTCTCTCTCTCTCTCTCTCTCTCCCTCCTCCGGGGAAGTCCCCCGGTGCGCAACGTCCGAACAACCTTGTTTTGGTCTGCGGTTTAGAGGGGCAGCAGGCGCGACTCCGGGGACTTTGGTGTCTCCAGGTTGGCATGGGGGCTCGCCAGGCCTATATAAGCCCCTGGTCCGGGCGCAGCCGCACTCTGCGCATCACCATGGCAGCCTGGACCACGCTGCTGCTCCTCTCCATCGCCGTCCTCGGGGCGCAGGCGGCCTCCGTCTCCAAGACCAAGTGCCCGGTCGTGCCCGGCAAGTCGCCCTTTGACCTCAACAAGGTAAGAGGCGACTGTTTGTGGCTCCCAAGCCGTTATCTTCCCCTACAATAGAAACTCTCGGCGAGATTCTAGAGACGCTATTCGAGCTAATAACCCTGCGTGTGCCACAGTTCCGAGGCGACTGGCTGCTGGTGGCGGGCTCCCCAGACTCGCTGGCGGCGCGAGGCAAGTGCGGCAAGTACAGCGCGAGCGCCGGCCCCGGGCAGGACGGGCTGAGCCTGAGGTTCGCCGGCCAGGGCACCGGGACGGGCAAGGCGGCGGTGCCGCTCGCCGTGGACGTCATCTCGCAGGCCGTCGCCGGGGACAAGGTGGCCCTGTCGCACGCCGTGTACCGCAAGCAGGGAGACTCGGACTACGAAGGTGAGTAGGGCAAGCGCAGAAAGAGGCCCATATCTATAGAATTCCCTATACTTTAAGCGCCCCGAGCGGATAGGCAGCCCACACAAACTTCTGCATCCCGTACAGCATAAGTACGCGAAAGAGGGGCGGGGTCAATCAGATAGCTATAGCTATACCCTTCACTCAGAAAACCGTCTCTTTCTGGGATGACTTTGCCGTAACCAATGGAATTTTCGTCGACACAGAGAAAAAATCTCTTCAGCTTCACAAATTTTATTCAAAAACTAGACAAAACTTTCGTCATCTTCAATACATTTTTTCTTCACCCAAACGGAAAATAAGGACGAAAATTTCGTTACAGTGAATAAAATTTATTTTCCCCGAAAAAGCGGTGAGCTGGTAAGCAGTGTACTAGAGTCTCGGAGAGGCTAGTATGCAGCCAGTGCAGCCAGCTTTACTGCCACATGACCGTTTTAATCTGAACGCATTCATGTCTTCACTATTGTAGGTGTTTTCAAGCAGAGCATCGTCGCAACAGACTACGACAACTACGCGGTGGTGGTGTCTTGCAGGCAGATGTACGTCGCCAGCACCAAGAGCTTCGGGCGCAACCTGTACGCCGAGATCTGGGCACGCAACAAAGTGACGCTCTCCCCGGAAACGATCGGCGTCCTCAAGAACATCCTCTCCAGCTACGACCTAGACGCGAGCGAGATCAAAAACGTCGACAGGGCCAAGTGCTAGATCACGCGCGCCTCGTTACGAAAAGTCCTAATTCACGGTGTTTAATAAAATGTTCATTTTCCTCACTTGGTTTTTGTCGACTCTTCTTCAATAGTACCCAGCCTTATCAATGTTTCACTGCTTGAGGGGCATTGAGGGCGCTCTGTACTCATGTCGGTGCGCATTCAGCCGGGCCAGCCAGAGCCGCGCCGCCCAAACTTCCCGCTCGATAACACGCGCCGCCGCGCTCTTTCCGCTCCCCCCACCACACTTCCGACATTCCCCCTCCTCCCACTGTGTCAGCGTCGACGCAGCTTAGTGTCTATGGTACGTCGGCCAACGAAAGGCAGAGTGACCGTGTGGCCTAATGGATAAGGCGTCGGACTTCGGATCCGAAGATTGCAGGTTCGAGTCCTGTCACGGTCGGATGTAACCTTTTGTTTCAGGCGGAAACAGTGGTGCATGTCGTATACAGGTCAATCGAAACTAGACCACTATTGGGAGATCAGATAGATTTCAACAATGGGAATGTCAATTTAAAAATAAAAATGTTCTCCGACAAAAATTTTAATATTTATTCGGCTTGAATATATGAAAATTTCACCAGCTTACATTAACAAGGAAAGTTAACCAACCATGGTCCGTTTCCTTCCACGAGCACGCACCTCTTCAAATTTATCTAAAACTAATTTTGAATCTTTCACATTGACTTTCTTATAAGACTGCAGTATGAGAGGAAACAATTTTTCCGCATTAGAGTGAGTGCTCAAAAGAGCTCTTTCAAGCACATATAAATCTACTCCTTTATCTTCTGCACTATTTTCTACATGACTCAGTCCAAAATCAATAAGAGTAATACTTATTTGCCCTTCTGTGGAAAGTGAATATAACATGTTTGATGTAGTAAGGTCGCCATGTATTATATTACTGGCATGTAATCTTCCGACTATGGAACCAATCTCTGTCGCAACAGGAAGTATAGTGCGAAAAGAGTCCTCTTCAGAACAATCACTTAGAGTATCATTGATAAACTTCTTCACTGTGATACTACCCTGAATTTCCTCCATGAAGATCCGTCGACTCTCAAAGTCCACTAGGTAAAGGCATGGTGTTCGAACACCTAGAAAAGAAAACAATCAGAAAACACTATTCAACAGAAATGAAGTGAGTTAGGTAATTAGATGTTGATTGTTTTTGTTTTTTCTAAAGGTACCTGCAGTTTTACTTCGAGCTATTGCTCTGGCCTCAGCTTTCATGCGTTCCTTGGTCAGATGTTCATCAAGGTCTGGGTGCCGGTAGAACTTTTTAAACCGCTCTTTCACGATAGTTGGCCTTCCTAGATAGGTGCCCTTGTAAACACGGCCTTCGGCTCCTTGCTTGAAAAGCTCGAAACCTTCCCAAGCTGATGACATTTCAGAATAGGTGATTTTGGTGTAAGTAAATATGTAAATACTATACTATCATAACAGCAAAGCAGGCAGACTGTCCACTTTCAAGCAAGACCAAGACCGGTTAGATCTTTAGTAGCGTTCTGAAGGGGAGGGGATCAGATTGGCCGGGAACATGTGTGACATAACCTGTGTTTGGTGTTGACTAATGTTGCAATATCTGTACTTTCTGTAAAGTATTCCCTGCTCGTCTCTCGTTGAATTGTTTCGTTCCAGGTACTTGCCCTCAGATTATTTCCCGTGCGGGAAACAGCCTGTGTTCATTTTTAAGTGTTGCCAGTTGTGACCGTACTATTGAAGCATTTATGAGTTTTTACTTCTGCTGCTGCCCTATGCAATGCGGAATTTTGTTTCGAAATTGTTTTTACTTCACTTTACATGTTTCTTGTGCAGCTTTCAAAATTATCTTACAATCATGATATTTGTGCTGTATGCCTTCCTCATGTCTTTTATTTCTTTTGCTTCTCTTGTTAAATTGTCTAAATGACGTGTTGCTTCATTATGTTTACGATAAACTTTCTTTCCAACTGTTAATTCATATCTCGATTTCGGTTTCTTTTGCAGTACTGGAGCCCTGTTAAACTATGGCAGATGAGAATAATCAGCCTAAGATTGATCCACTTAAAGGCCGTCAGGGAGTTCATGCTGCTACTCGTGACTATATTAATTTGATTGAAAAACAAAACTTGTATCGTGTTTCTGAGCTTGTCAAGCACAGGCGCCGGACAAATTTAACTGGGCTTGGACTTTTTGGACTTGTTGTTGGAATTTACACCTATACCATCTACGCTGTGAAGCAAGAGAAGTTTTTGGACGACTTTGAAGAGCCAAAGTTTGTCGAAAAGAAACAGTAGTTTAAAGTTTATTTTTATTTTGCATTTTTGCTCCCTTAGATTTATTTTGTTAGTTGAATAGCCTTTAAGCTACTGTAAACATGTCAAGCCCAGCATTGCAATCTGTCAAAAAGTTGGTACAAAATGGTTCTCGCCTTCGGCTTCCACCACTTCCATCTCCAAGAGATCTTATCAACCTGTACAAACTTCGAGCCAAAAAGCAGCTCTCTCAAAATTTTCTTCTAGATAAAAGACTAACAGATAAGATAGCAAAAGCTGCTGGTGCTATTAAAGATGGTGATGTATGTGAAGTTGGTCCAGGTCCGGGAAGTATCACTAGATCAATTTTAAAGCGTGTACCAGGTCGGCTTATTGTTATTGAGAAGGATCCACGTTTCCTACCTTTTCTAGAGGTATGCTTGTCTCTTATTGTTAAACATTTAATGTTCCCTATAATGCAGTTTAATTGCCACTTACTATTCAACTAGATGTTGCAAGAGGCTTCTCAAGAAAGATTGAAAGTTGTTTTAGGAGATATCTTATCAGTGGACATGCAAAAATTGTTTCGTGAAGATCTGCGCATGCAGTGGGATGACAGGTGTCCAAACATTCACCTGATTGGTAACCTCCCTTTTAGTGTGTCCACCCCACTTTTAATTCAATGGTTGAGAGATATTTCTTTGAGGTATAATGACTTTTTAACTAAATGGTCTGGCTTTCACCACGTTCTTTCTATTTAATGAAAATATTTTTTCTTAGGCAGAATGCCTGGTCATATGGACGTGTAAGAATGACTCTTACCTTCCAAAAGGAAGTTGCAGAGAGAATTGTTGCTGAAGCTAATGGCCGTCAACGTTGTAGATTGTCAGTGATGTGTCAAAATTGGTGTGATGTAAAGCATGTTTTTACAATATCAGGTATTTTTTCTTCGTTCTTCCTCGTTTAGAATATTTTCAATTCAAAATTCCTATCTATCTATCTAGTTTACAGTTTTCAACTAGTAGCTTCTTTACAAATGTATTATTGTTTCAGGATCATCATTTGTTCCACCTCCAGATGTTGATGTTGGCGTAGTTACACTGAGACCTAAGATTGAACCAATTATAAAGGAGGACTTTCATCTTGTTGAGAAAGTTGTTCGTCAAATGTCAACTTTTCGTCAGAAGAAGTGTATTAGAAGTGCTCAGTCAGTGTTATTTCTGAAATGTTCCAGGTACGATCAAGAAATTATTTGTTTTACTGAAGATGTATCTTTTTCAGAACATTATTTCCACCGCATGTTCGTGAAGAGATGGCTGTAAAGTTGTTGCATTTGGCCGAAGTAAATCCTGACACTAGATCTTTTCAATTAACACTGGAAGAGTTCAAACGCTTGGTATCAGCATTCAGTTACATGTGCCAAGATTATCCAAAGCTGCTGAAGTAAGTTTCAGCTGAGTATTTCCCTTGTGTGTTTCTCAAGTGTATGCACTCTGTGTCCTGATAAACCTTAATCAATTTTGTATCGCAGGTATCAATATGGAGGTAATAGTAATGATAAGGAATTCTGGGAGAATAATGAAAGTAGAGATCTTGATATTGGTGAACTTCTCCCTGGAGAAAAGGATATGGATGTTGAAGAAGTACGAAAATTGTAAAGTAACCTTGGTCCAGCGTAAATAAATTATGTCTGCATAGTAGGAACATGAAATGTTTTGTTTGATTTCATACAGTAAGAAAGAGACAATTACCATTTGATCTAATTTATTATACCCTAATTTGAAAGGCAAATGTGGCAATTAAAAACCCTATACTTTGAAATTTAACTACAATAAAATATTTCATACCGTAAAAATAGCAGTAATTAACAAACATCATCTCAAATAGTAATGAGAAAAAGTAATTCATCTTGAATGAGTACTCCAAGCCAGCATTGGCACATCACAACAACCAAAAGGTTACCAAGTGAGGTCTGTTCTCCACTAAAAAAAAATCTAGGTGAAACATGAAGGTCATGACAAAATGGACAAAACATCTACCTAGTAATTTTATAGAAAACAATATTTGATGGACATCGATAAAGTTTACACCAAGTACAAAGATTCCATTAATTAAACATCTCTTAATCTCTTACATTTCCAAATGAAATGGAGACCAAAGGTTACAATGTAAGGCAAGAATTGGTCATGAATAAGATCAAGAAAATGTTAAGGAATATGAAAATACCTGACTCATTTCAATCCTAAATCAGGCCTTCAGCAGAGTATTTAGCATGACAAGAATATATATCACAGTTTTACATGTAACTCATAAGGCAAGCACAGCTATGATCACAATGTTGGTTCATTCTTGCATTTTAGTGCATTTATAGACATCTTCCATTCAAGAGAGAGACAATCAAAAATAAGTCTGAGAAATTTTCACACAATAAATGATAAGCTTTCCAAAAATTAGAGTAAACAAATCTAAATGAGATTGAAATTGGACCACAAATTTAAAATAATTTTACTTTACTCAACCGCTTTACATCATTATCTATTCAGATTGATTTATTTCCACTCTTTGGTCCCATTCATTTATTCAGGGCCCATTTACGATCGTTCGCGGAATCTTAAATTAAATTGACCAACGCGTGGTGGCTTATGGGAGTATCTACGATGCCAGCCCCTTAAATGAAATTCATTTCT